CCTCGCCACTATCTGCGGGCGCTAGATGAAGAGTTCAACGGACGTAACTTCGCCCTGAGCCCGGAGCTGGCGCTGGAGCTGCTGTTGTCGGAGCTGCTGGAGCTGCTGGAGTCAGACGCCTGCCTCTTCTCCTCGTTCTTCTTGGTCAAGGCCTTCTCCTTCTCTATCTCCTTCTCCTTCTCCTTCAGCTCCTTGTCCTTCTGCGCAATCACGGCCTTGAACTCCTCAATGTGGTGGCTCAGGAAAGAGCACCTGCTCGAGTTCCTGAGCTGCTGAGCCCCTGAGCCTGCGTCACGGCTCGCCAGCCGCAAGGCCTGCAATCTGCTCAGCTCAGCACGCGCCTTCACCAACTCCTGCTCCGCGCAGCTTCTCCTGCTCCGCATGGAACTTCTCCTGCTCCGCGTGCTCCTTCTCCTGATCCGCCCGCTCCTTCGCCAAGCTCTGCAGCACCGTCTCTGCTTTTTCAGCAGCCACCGCCATCTGCAACTCGCCCCTCCGCTTGCGCCGCTTCAGCTGGGACATGCTGTCCCCCAATCGCTTCCCCATGGTCCTGGTTCCTACTGATGATGATGATGATGATGATGATGATGATGATGATGATGATGATGATGATGATGATGCCGAGCTGTGTGGCTGTAAGCTGTTTTGAAACACTTGTTTGGCAATTTGTGTGTCGCGATGCCAAGAGTCGGAGTAGTTTTTTGCTTGATGACCAAGATGGCAAGTGCACATGGTGTGATGTCGACTGATCTTGCATGGGCCGCTAATTGAAACCTTGAGTGCATGACGTCACACACAATCATGGTCACCAGGTGGCTGGTCAGCCACAGGTTGCTGGTCAGCAACAGGTTGCTGGTCAGCAACAGGTTGCTCGTCAGCAACAAGTTGCTTGTCAGCAACAGGTTGCTGGTCAGCAACAGGTTGCTTGTCAGCAGCAGGTAGCAACAAGCTGCTGATCAGCAGCTAGTTTGCCAATCAGTGACACCAGCCGGTTCGCGCCTCATCATCTTTTGCTGCTCTTTGGCTTTTGTCCTTCAAGCAAGGAATGCATGTTGATAGGATAGTCAATCCCGTTTCAAGCTGGCTCGAAACGCAACAAGGATGATCCAACGGACCAAACTTTAACCAACAAAGTGCAAATCCCTAGAAATGCCAAGACGCAGTCGGTCCTGAGCGCTTCCTGGCTCCTTTGGCCTCGCTTTGGCTGCGGTCGCTGGCGCCGCCGCTGCTTTGCTGCTGCTGCTTTCTGGCGCAGCTTTTGCTGGCGCCATCGCCGCAGCCTTTTCCACAGCAGGCGCTTCCTTTCGCTGGGCATGCTGCGCCCTGAGAGCGGCTTGCTCCTCTTGCTGGCGATGTGCCCAGGCTTGCGTTGCCGCCGCCGCTGCAGCCTGCTGTATCTGCGCATCTGCTGCTGCTGCTGTTGCTGCTTGGGCTTGTCGCAGCTGGATCATCTGTTGCTGCTGCAGCAACGTAGCCTCTGCCTGAGGCTGCTGCTGTTGCAGCAGGTGGTGGAATTGTTGCTGCTGCAACGCTGCAGCTGCATGTGCTTGCTGTTGAAGCAATGCTGCTGCTTCTGAAGCTGCATCTGCTTGCTGTAGCTGACGCAATGCTGCTTCGGCAGCAGCCTGCGCTTCTTGTTGCTTCCTCAGTGCTGCTGCTTGTGCTGCCGCTGCACGTTCCTCTTGCTGCTGCTGCTGCTGCTGCTGCTGAATCATGGCTTGCTGATGCTGCTGCTGCTGCAGCTGCGAAGGCAGCTCTTGCTGCATCGTGCGGCGCAGCTGCTCCTGTGGGCATTGCGGCTGTTGGGGCTGGTGGCGCGGCGGTGGCTGATGCTGTTGGTGCAGCGGTGGCTGCGGTGGCTGTTGGTGCTGCTGCTGTGGGGGCTGTAGTTGTTGTGGTTGCTGCTGCTGTGGGGGCTGTAGTTGTTGTGGTTGCGGTTGCTGCGGGGGCTGTAGTTGTTGCGGTTGCCATTGCTGTTGGTGCTGCTGCTGTGGGGGCTGTAGTTGTTGTGGTTGCTGTTGGTTCTGCTGCTGCGGGGGCTGTAGTTGTTGCGGTCGCTGTTGGCGCTGCTGCTGTGGGGGCTGTAGTTGTTGCGGTTGCTGCTGCGGGGGCTGTAGTTGTTGCGGTTGCTGTTGGTGCTGCGGATTGTGTTGCGTTTGCTGCGCCACTGCAGTTGGTTGCTGATGGCGCCATGGTGGCGACGGCAGCGGCGGTGGAAATGCTGGCTGTTCCTGCTGGGGCTGCTGATGCAGTTGCGGCTGCTCAGCTGCTGAGGCTCCTGCTGGCTGTTGTTGCGGCTGCTGCATGTGTTGCTGCAGCTGCTGCTGCAGCTGCTGCTGCTCTTGCTGCAAAACCTGAACGGCGCTCGTCAGGAATTGCAGCACGCCATACATGGCGTCCAGCGTGTTGAAAAGCCGATACTCGCCGCCTTGCTTTGGCGGCATTGCCCCACCCCGCGCCGAGAAGATAAACAGTAAACGATGCAGTGCGGCGCAGTGCAATGCAATGCAATGTATTGTGTGTGTAATGCAGTATGTATTTATGTATGTCTATGTATGTATGTATGTATTATATGTAATGCAATGTAACGTATTGAAATGCCATGCAATGCAACGCAATGTAATGTATTGCATGTGTGTTATAATGTCACGCACTGTAATGCAATGTAATGTAATGTAAAGTAATGTGTGAGTCTAACGTAATGCAATGTAATGTAATGTAATGTAATGTAATGTAATGTAATGTAATGTAATGTAATGTATGGATGTATGTATGCAGGTATGTAGGTATGTTTGTTTGTTGGTTGGTTGGTTGGCAGGCAGTTAGCGCATGTGGATGAAGTCTCTTTCTGCGTGCATCTCATGGTTTGTGATGCACTTTTGTGTCTGCCACAAGTTTGTGTCCGCCTGCGCCTCCCTTGAGCCACATCACGCAACATCGATGAAGCCGCTAGGCAAAAGCTGGCAAGTGCTGGTGAAGCTGCTGAGCAGCAGCTGGAGACTGCTGAGCAGCAGCTGGTGCTTCTGTTGAAACTGCTGAGCAGCAGCTGGCTGGTGCTTCTGTTGAAACTGCTGAGCAGCAGCTGGCTCTTGCTGATGAAACTGCTGAGCATTGTGTTGAAGTTGAAACTGCTGAGCAGCAGCTGGTTCGTGCTGATGAAACTGCTGATCAGCAGCTGGTGCTTCTGTTGAAACTGCTGAGCAGCAGCTGGTGCTTCTGTGGAAACTGCGGAGCAGCAGCTGGCTCTTGCTGATGAAACTGCTGAGCAGCAGCTGGTGTTTGTGTTGAAGTTGAAACTGCTGAGCAGCAGCTGGTTCGTGCTGATGAAACTGCTGATCAGCAGCTGGTGCTTCTGTTGAAACTGCTGAGCAGCAGCTGGTGCTTCTGTTGAAACTGCTGAGCAGCAGCTGGCTCTTGCTGATGAAACTGCTGAGCAGCAGCTGGTGTTTGTGTTGAAGTTGAAACTGCTGAGCAGCAGCTGGTTCGTGCTGATGAAACTGTTGATGTGCTTCTCATGAAACTGCTGGGCAGCAGTTGGTTCTGCTGAGCAGTTTTTTTGGTGAAACTGCTGAGCAGCAGTTGGTTCCGCTGAGCAGCAGCGTGTGAAACTGCTGAGCAGCAGTCGGTGCGTGCTAATGAGCAGCAGTTGGATCCGCTGAGCTGCGCGAAACAAAACAAACTGCTGAGCAGCAGTGGGTGGTTGATGGGATTGATTGTCTGACCAGATTTCAACCAAGGTTCCGCCGGCGGCAGCGCGCAGCAGCGGCCAGCAGCCGGCAGGCAGCTGCAGCTGCGAGCCTGCCGGAAAGGCACGGGTGCGTTTTTTAGTCTGAGACTTGCTTGAACCTTCACCCCGGCTGCTCGTAACCCTGGCTCGCAATCATTATGCTGCTGGCCAGCAGCTCAGGATTTATATTTGTGGCCGGGCTGCTGGTCAGCAGCTGATCCCTGCGTCTCGAAACCTTAAGTTTACAAGACAAAGGGGGGTTGTTTGTGAGACAGCCAGTCTGGATTCTCAAAACGACTTGTAACAAGCCAGCCTGCGCTGCAGTCTGTCATGGGCTCGAGGCTGCAAAAGAGCCGGCAGAAGGAAGCATGTCGCAACGCGTGCAAAGCCAAAAAATGGCAGCTGGCCTGCTCCGCAGCAGAGGTGATCTCTGGCAGCCTGCCGGCAGACAAGCGTGAGGAGTTCAAGAACCTGATCCTGAAGTGTAAGGCCAAGGGGATCAATAAGGTGGTGATTGAGAATGGCCGTGCTTTGGCGCGCAGCGCTGTGGCTGCTGAAAGCTTGTATGACTTCAGCAAAAAACAAGGGGTGACCATTGTCGCATCAGATCTTCCTGATTTGTTCAGCCACGAAGAAAACCCAGCTTCGCGCTTCTTGCGCCGGATAATCTGTGCATACAATGAGCTGGAGAAAGACATGACAGTGTCCAGGTTACAACATGGCTTGGCAAACAAGAAGAAGAAAGCCCGCGCAGCTCTTCGGAATGGTGACAAGAGTGTGAAGCTATCTCAGAAAGGCGTTGTCAAGGTCAACGGGAGCAAAAGCATCCTTGAAACCGTGCAGTCCAAGAAGTGCATTACTCAGCTGAAGAACATTTGCAAGCAGCATGAACATGGCAAAATTAGTTGCCGCCATATGGCAACTGAGTTGTCTCAAAAGCTTGGCCTGAAATCACCGATGGCCCATGAAACAGCGAGGCGCATGTGCACAGCCCTTTTGAAGCTTCACTGACACGCTGTGAGTGATGTTGCTGAACTGGCTGGCTTAACGCACCCAAAATCACATGTTCACTTCTGTATGGGGTTGTGATTGCCCAAGCCAAGTTTTAAACTCCATCCCGAATTACATTAAGCCAGCAGACTTCAGCAAGGAGTCAATGACCCTCTGCACCAAAGGAATTGGAACTGCGTTGCCGGCTATTCCGCCCAGGGCAGCAGCTGAAACGACCCCGTGCGGAAAATCCGACTGTGACACACCCATAAGGGCCAACACTTCATTCCTTGTCATCCAACGTGACTCTTTTGTCAGCCAATGCCCTTTGGACGCTGCACGGTTTTTGGTCAGGCAAGGTGACACTCCTTTCATGAAATGCCTGCCGCTTCTGACTGCATGATATGTCCACAACGTACTGGTTCTTGAAAGGGTCGTCTCCCTGGTTGATGACCCTTGTAAGTGCCGTTTTCACATGGTTGTAGTACCCTGGAGCCAAACCGCCCAAGGCAACTTCGGGCTGTTTCTTTTCCAAGAAGTCGTTCAGCGGGCGCATGGGGATGGGGTCTGGCCATTTCATGTCTGATTTCTGCGACTTGGCCAGGACGCCGGCAATGAAGACCCGGACGCGATGGTGCGGCAAGCCGCTGTATTGGCTGGTGTCCAACGCTTTCCAGGACACGCCTGGCACTCGACGACAAGGACGGCATGATATGGGCATGTGACGGTTGAAATTCACAATGCTTGACAAGTAAAAGGGCTGACAAAAGTACTCGTGAGAAATTAGTCAATCCACAGCCGCTGGCCAGCTGCATCTTTCATTTCCATAATGACCTCCAAGATCAGCACTAGGATGGGCTTGCGGTTTGTGAGCAGCCCCTCAACATTCTCCAGCAAAAAACACTTTGGCTTGGCGCGGTAGATGTAGTGAAGAACGTAGAAAACTACGATGCCCCGCAAGTCGGCAATGCCTTTGCCCAACCCGGCAGTACTAAAGCTTTGGCAAGGAAAGCCGCTGAAGAAAAAGTCGACTGTCGGGGCTCGCAAGAAGCTCTCATCCATCACATTGTCAAACCATTTGTGGCGCTGGTACGTACGGGTGCTCAAAGCCTTGGCTTTACGGCAGATGTCGCACGCGAAGCAGCACGTGTGGCGGACTCCGAGCCGCGTCAAGGCGATGAGTTCGCTGCACCAGCCACTGCGTGCGCTGGCAACAGTAACGCCGTTATGTTTGTGCTCGCACGTCTCGATGACCATGTTGAGGCTCCATGCTGCAATCATCTGCAAGATGGCAGCAGCAGCGTTTTGTGAGGGGACAGCCTTCGGAGGACGACGAGCAGGTGTTTGGCTGGAAGCTGCAGTCGCAGGCCGCTTCAACACCGCCTTCTGCACCTTCTGAACCTTCTGAACCTTCCGGGATGGTTTGGGCTTGGCTTGAGCAGCGAAGCCAGCATCGTTGTCGTCAATGTCATCCATGTCAGCTGAAAACCCAGCCATTGCTGGAGTCAGCTCTAACTCTTGAACATCAATTGGCTGTGGTGAGCGACTGCTGGTCAGCAGACAAGCCAGTGAGTTCGTCAGTTTAAAGTCTCAGCAGGCCAAGCGTGCCTTTTCAATGCGATCGATGGGTTTCTCGCCGACTTTCAAGTTCTTCACCATTGCATGGCCCAGCCGCCTTCCCAAGAAACACCGCAATGCTCTTGTCAAGTATTTGCAACTGAACGTGGCAAGGCCATGAATGACTACAGGCCAAAATGTCGCTTGCCCTGTTGGCAATTCATCCTTGCAACTTTGCAAGAAGCGCAGCCCGTGCCGCCTCAGCAGTGCTACTGTTACCAGTGTTCTGCTTCTTGGCTGGAGCCTTCTGCTTGGTGTCGTCATCGCCGCCATCACCGCCCGCTTTCTCTTTCTCAGTCTCTGCATCATCGACCGCGACCGTCGCCTTGCGCTTGGCTCGTGGGGCCTTCTTAACCTCCTTGATCTTCTCTGCGTTCAGCAAAGATGTCCTTAGTAGTTTCCACGTGACGTGCGTGTTGCAACAAACAGTAAACACACTTGTGCGCCAAGTTTGTTGCCAGGGGGCAGCCCCACCTCATACAGCTCTGGGATATCGTCATTCTGGAAGGCGTCCCACAAGCTTTTCAGCACCTTCGCCTTCAGCAGGTCTGCGTGCTGCGAGGTAAAGCACACGCTGATGATAGGAACCTTGCGCTTGATGCACTCCATGATGAGCAAGTGGTCAACATCAGGAGCTCGGAAGACGCATGCGGGCTTGAAGCTGCGCAGCACCTCAGCCAGGAAGACTGGGTTGCTGCCAGGTGGCCGGTTCAAGCCCCTCAGGAAGTGCGGGCTTTGGCTCGTTGACCGGGCCTGAGCGCATCGCGGATTTGGACGACATGATTTATATATCTTAGAGGTAGCGTGAAGATAGTCAAAGTATTTACTGCAAACTGCGTCCAAGCATCAGGGGCCACCGGTGAGCACCCTACCCTTGTCCCCATACAAGCCTTTCTTGTCGGCAGGGCTCGTTCGACAACAAGCTTTGTCGGTGTAAGGCAGCGCGCGAACTGGACCGATGTGGCTGCCGTGATTCGTCCCGCTGTAGTGCTTCCGCGCAACCTTCTCAATCTCTAACCCCTCAAGGGTGTAGCACATCATGGACTCGGTTTGGTTCACGAACCCGCGAACTTTTTCGCGCCTGTCGACGAGGCTTTCTTCGTCGTAGCAGATTGTGAAGCACTGTCTGCATTTGTTCATCGAGCGGCCCGTCGAGTCAACAAAGGCTTGTGACACCGACGTGTCGTTGCCACTCCGCCCTCCATCCATGTAGATGACGAGGCCCGTCTTCTTCAAATCCCCCTCCTGGGCATTCTCCTGGTCGCCAGGTCCCCGCACTGCCGTGAATGCTTGCAGCATGCGGCGGAAATGCCTCTGCTGGAAGGGTGGCAAACGAATGTTCGGATTCGATGACGCCTCTCCAGCAACCTTCGAGTCGTAGAGCAGCATGCATGGCCCGCTCACCTTTTTCAGCACAGTCTGCTCCAGGACCTTGATCAAGTCATCTTTGCTGTCCTTGCCATGTCAAGTGCTACTGACTCAGTCTGACACTGGCAGCTGATCAGCTGCAAGAAAAGGCAGCTGTTCAGCTGCAAGAAAAGGCAGCTGATCAGCTGCAACTATTAAGCCAAGATGCATGATCCACCACCAAAGTGCAGAATGACTCAAACTTGTTGAGCAGAAAGGTCAGCCAGTCGTCCAGCTTGCCTTCGTCATCGACAGTCTCCAGCTGCTGCGCCGTGCACAAGTCCTTCAACGTCAAGGATTTGCCCTGATTGACGTCCTCATGAGCGCTTCCCGGCTCTTTGGAAGATGTGGCCATGGGATGGTCCTTGTTCGTGATGCTGACTTCCTCGATCGCTTCCGACAGGAACTTCACCTGGCTGATCACCTCTGCAACCTCGCAGCTACCCTTCAGCGCCGTCTTCAACGCGCCATCGTTCGTCACCGAAACACAAAGTTCTCCAGGATGCTCACCATCTTTCGCGTGCTCTCGCGCACCGTGCCCAGGATGGACTTTTCATTCCGCCTGACCAGCTGTCCACCGGTTCTCAGAATAATCAATAAACTAGGGTGCTCACTGAAGTTCTGCCGAGACGCGTGAGATCCCGGAACCCCTTGTGCGTGCGCAGCCTGGCCATCATGGCAGTGTCAGCCTCTGGCAGCTGCAACTTGCCGAGGAAGGGGCCCAGGAAGTAGTCCTTCAGATCCATCTTCAGGACCCACAAGTCCACCAGCCCCTTCTGCCGAGGTGCTCCACCCTGCAGTTCAGCACATTCGCTGGCCAAAAAAAAGACAGCAAAGATCAGAACGAAAGTAAGTTGGAGTCAGGGAGCCAGCGAGCGACCTTTGAATTCGTTCGGCAAGCAATCGAGGAAAATCATGAGGTCATCCATCGTCGCCAGAGCCCAAGCGATCTGGTCCGGGTTCTTGGTCTTCTCAAGGATCTTGGCAAGGGTCCACATTTGCGAAGTGGGCGACGCCTTGCCGAGCCTGTTGTCCATCACGAACACCATGTCCCGCAAATTCGGCACCGAGAGGACCCTGTCATACACCCGGATCGCCGTTTGAACGAAGTTCAAAGTGACGTTCTCTGCAAGGGCCGACTTGGACTCCGACACCTGCTGCGACCATGCTTCGTACAGCTCCTCTGCTGTCATCTTCTTCGCCGCTGACTCCTGGGCGGCCTTGTAGGTCATGAGCTCGTAAGTTCTTTGGCTTGCTGTTCGGACAAGAGCATCATAGTCATCGATGATCTTGTTGCGGAGGTTGACCTGCGATGTCGGCAGCGCACCAGGCGCTAGGCTAAGCTACTACTACTTCTTAGGCTGTATTTTACTTCAGACTGACAGTCCCACACAGTAAACATCTTTGCTGGCAGTCAGGGCGCCCCTCTGAAGAACATTTTCTCTGGCGTGTCGATGACCTCAAACACGAAAGTTGCCGTCAGAGCGACCGTCTTCCACTCCCTTGGCAGCGGCGGTCACGTGCAGCGGCAATATTGTGTAAACCATTTTTTGGGGACCATCGGAGACAAGTTTCAGCAGAACATGCTCAGGTTCTTCGCGCTCAATGGCGGCTGCCAGCGCAAACAGGTAGGCGTGCTCCACCTCTTCCGGGCTCACGCGGCGCAAGTTCCCACGGCTGAGCTCCAAGTTCGCGCCCACCGCAACAATGATCGGCTTGTCGAACCTGGTCAGGGAAGACGTTTAAGAAAACTATGTTAATGATGGGATTCAATTAGCCTCTGCCTCTTGGGCCCTTTGCAGAACATGCTGTGCTGCAAGTTGGTCACAGCTTGGCGGGAAATCGGCACTCGAGGGGCGCAAGTCCACCGCAAGTTCAGCCAAAAGAGGTTGCACGCGCTGTCGTACTGGCCGGCAGTCTGCATTGCAGCTTCTTATACCAGGTGCCCTTAAGCAGCTTGAGTCTCTCAACAATACTTGACAAGGGAACCTTGAGCGCAAGCACTCCTTTTCAGCACACGGGGTAGAGCATCAAGGTAAGGAAAGGTCCTTCTTAGAAAGGGGGGGACCCCAAAAGGGAGAAAAGGGTTCACACCCTGAAAGAAGGGGGTCCCCCAAGAAGGCCTCAGGGGGTGAGGGCAGGCAAGTACCCCCACCCGAACCCAGTCTGAAAGGCAAGCCACAGGGTGTGGCTCGCGTAGCCAATAAGCTACTTGGTATAGTAGGCACAGCCACTCACTCGTCCAAACTGGGTGGGTGGGTGGGAAAAAATCTAAGGCCCTGAAATTGGAAGGAAAGGAAAGGTTTGAGCCTCAAGCTGCAACTCAACAGTTAAGGGCACCCGTATAACGCCGCGAGTGCAAGCACTAGCAATCCTTATACCAGGTGCCCTTAAGCAGCTTGAGTCTCTCAACAATACTTGACAAGGGAACCTTGAGCGCAAGCACTCCTTTTCAGCACACGGGGTAGAGCGTCAAGGTAAGGAAAGGACCTTCTTAGAAAGGGGGGACCCCAAAAGGGAGAAAAGGGTTCACACCCAGAAAGAGGGGGGTCCCCCAAGAAGGCCTCAGGGGGTGAGGGCAGGCAAGCGCCCCATGTCGAGAACTCGCACGCACCCCCTGTAAACTGAGTGCTCGACCGTGTGAAGTGACCTGAGGCGGCACAAACGGATTGAAACGGAAAACACATACGTGTGAATAAAGGCATGAGAGGACGCCATGTGCACTTCATGCGCAAGGAAAGAAACGGTACAAGAGCAAGTTAATTTTACAGCTGCAGCTCGCTCCATAGACTGTTCCAAATGCTTGGTGTAACGTGGGACTTCTGGGATTGAAAGGAAAGTAACTGAGTTTCATTGCCTCGACTCGGGGCATCGGCAACATTCACCTCGGTAGGGACCCGATGGATCCATGTGTCGAAGGTCATCCGTTGCTCAAGGCGTAGGAAGTGTTGGACAAGCTGGTCGGCCGCATGGTTGTCGCATGACATGCGAATGAGAGAATGAAGTGCAGCTTCGTTGTCCACATGAAAGAAAATGGCCGTGCCTGAGAGCAGGTCTGGCCAGAGGTGAAGTGCCACCAAAATGGGAAGGATCTCGAGGTGCAAAATGCAGTGAGATCCAAATATTGTAAGTACTGAAAGAGCCGGGGGCTCGAATGAAAAGTGAAAGCGGGGATGCCCAAAGAAGTCCACAAGGACGCCTCCTATGGAGGGCTTGGAAGCCTCCAAGGCACCATCTGTAAAAAAAAAATGCCAAACGAGGCGGTCCTTACTGCTGACTGCTCTTGGCATGGAATTGACAAGAGACTGCAAACAGCGCTGTAAAATCCTCACAAGCGACGGAGGGGCGCGAGAGCCTGGTGCCAGGGCAGAAAGCTCAGAGAAGAGAGGCATCGTGAATGGTATCGTCCCGATAATTGACCGTGCGCAAACTGCATGCGGCCTCTCAATCTGCGAGCCTCTTTGGGTGAAAGGGAATGGCTTGTCAAAAGCTTTTGCAAGCTAGAAGCCAAGAGATGGATTCGGGCCTCGGTGTTTGCCACTTCGAAGACCCCAGAAACTAACTGCTCGCGTGAGGTTGAAGGCAACCCCAAGCGCCTGAAACACGGCTGAACGGTGGGTTCTTGGAGGGCTTGTTACTGACCTGGAAACCCAACAACGTGAACAAGGACTTGATCAGGTGCGTGGCAGCGTTGGCGAGCGGCTCGGGCACCACTGTCGGGAAATCGTCATAGAAGCAGGTCCAGGGTAGGCGAAAAAGGCGAGCGCCAAGCGCATGAATGGCCAAGCTAGTGCGCAAAAAGGCGTAAACCGAGGCTGAGCTGCCAAATGGCATAGTCAGCATACGGTAGCACCTCGGGCCATGCATGGGTTCGTACACGCACATGAACGAGTGTGTTCGGTGCGCAGGCGCAATCGCCAGCTGACGGTATGCGTCCTGAAGGTCGAAGGCTCGTCCACGCCAGGGCACCTTTTTGTAACTGCAACACCGCTAGAGCAAGGCAGCGATAAAATCAGTATCACGCAGGACGACCTTGTTGGCGGAACCGACGGCAGAGTTCAAAAGATTGAACGTAAAGTCGTCAATAGGCCTGCATTTGTCAGATTGCAAAACATAGAAACGCGGGCTGATGACGGAAGTGCTTGGCACGTCCGGGACCAAAAAGGGGCCATCTAGCCAGCCCTGCTGCAATTCCGTAAGTGTAGTGTCAAAAAGTGTCTGGTCAGCTGCTGGATCATCTGTAGGCTGGCAACGGGCCAAGGCGCGGGCCTGCAACGCTGGGGCCATGCGCTCTAAGGAGGCGACATCCACCGCAGGTGGCTGTGGATGCCTGGGCGCACGAGGCGAGCAACTGCTTCTGACGCGGAGCAAACTCTTCGGCCAGCTGAAGCAAGGATCTGAGCCTTTCTGCCCAGAAGGACAGGGCATCATGCGTGGGACATGTTGCAACGAAGTCGACGGCCTCCTCCAGAAGTTGGCCGAGAGGGGGCAACATGTTGGCTGGGTGCTGCACTCCTCTCATAGAATGCATGTGCTGCACAGGGTTTTAGGGCATGCAACCCAAAACTGATCTGGAGCGGCCTCTGGCGGGTGCAAAGGCAACACGGAGCCTTTTGGCCAAGGGCCGGCCGGTAGCCGCTTGCCGCGAAGCCATGCTGCGTCGAAAGCTTCGCGGGAACAACTGCAAATCAAAGGGAGATGGCAAATTTGGAAACACCCACGAACGAGGCTGAAACTTCACTGCAGCTCGAAGGAACAATGCATCATCCCTCCAGTGTGGCAGCGCTTGGCCTAGGAACATCGGCCGGGGGCGGCTGTGCGGAGGCAGGGAGTCCCTGAAACATCGGCAAATGGCTTGGCAAAAGGGAAGTGGGTAAGCGGCTTCCTCGGCGGTGTGAGTGCCGCCGGAATCTTTCCACGGGGCATGGGAATGGTTGCCGTCACAAGTGCGGCAAAGATTCTGGAACCAGGTGGGAGTACCCTTCAGGACAGTGTGCTTGCGGCGAGCACCCCCATAAGCGCAAAAGTGGACCTCGGTCTGCGAATGCTCTGGGAGTGCGCTCATCATGGAAGTGTCCCACATATAACTGCGAGCAGGGTTCTCGATAAGCCATGGTATGCCGTGCTGGCTGCACATGCCAGCGACAGCGGCCGCGAACGCATAAAGGCTGTTGGCACTGGTCACCCTAGCGAGGTCATGGCCGTGAAGTGAAGGCAAACCGTCTGGATGCTGGCCTGAACGGAGCGGGTGCGCAACGCGTTTCCCATTGCTGTAGGCTGGAATATCCCTCGCGCGGGGAGCAGTGCCGCACGGGGGTGCAAGCACCACCAGGGCCGGCAGCAAGCACCGGAGTGTGCTGAGCAGCAACTGTTGGGCGCCAGGCTCGCGCAAGTCCAACTGCAAAACATGCCACCGCTTTGCTGGTACATGATCTACTGCTACTGACTGAAAACCCATGGAGACGGCTGTGGAAGAAAAGTTGCACGAACCTGCAAAGATCTCGACCACACAGGGTGCGCGGCCCTCAGGGCTGCGGGTAGGTGTGCAAACAGAGGGACTGGCCGAGGAAGCGAGATCCTCGGAAAGGCCGGAGGCCGAAGGAAAGGCATGGTCTCTGGCAGGGCAAGGCCCGGTTAAAGGCCGGGCACAGGGTGCTGGGGTCTGTGTGCCCGAAGTATGACCGTGAAAGGAAACTGCGACCGGAGGAACGGCGGGGTGCACCGGGGCACACCCACCAGGCACAGGGGCCAAGGGAAAGGCACCCGCAAGGGGAGCACTGGGCCGCACAGGGGCAGACCCAGAAGGCACAGGGGCCTGGGGAAGAGCTTCTCGGGGAGAAGCGCTGGGCCGCACAGGGGCAGACCCAGCAGGCACAGGAGCCTTGGGAAGAGCTTCTCGGGGAGAAGCGCTGGGCAGCACAGGGGCGAACCCAGCAGGCACAGGGGCCTGGGAATCCTCACTAGGTGAGGTGGCAGGATGCACAGGGGCATGCCTGCACGGCGTAGGAGCCGGATCGTTGGTAATAGGAAAAGAGGAGGCGGCTGGCTGACTTGGGAAAGAAAAGGATGGTGGTGGCAAAAGGGGCACTGCAGCGGAACAGCCGAAACTGAATGACCCACTGCTAGCCATAGCATGAGCGGAATTGGCCGGCTCGTGCTCGGGTCACAGGACTGTGCACAAGGTATAGGGGTGAGACCCAAAGCACTTCATGCACTGATGCTTCAATTGGCACGGCTTCTTCTGGCATGGCCGCTCCATGTTGTAGTTCCAGCAGAGCAATTCTCCCTGCAAGTTGCGGCCTTTCAACCCTTTTCCTTGCAAGGGCGCCGGGAAACTGGGCTGAGCCTTGCCACGGCCCTTGGACTTGGCGGGGGACTTGCCACGCCCTTTGGGTGAACCCTTGGGAGGTCCTGGTCGATTGACTCGCTCCGGGACGGCGCGCGAGGGCCGAGGGAGCAGCTGCATCGCAACGGGCGGAGTGAGCATGAGCTCTTGGATGGCTTGGTCCACAGGGAAATCATGATCACTTGGCAGGGAGGCACCCACCTTGTGGGATACACTCATCCACAGCTCCTTGTCTGCCGCCGTGAGCTGCTCCAAAGCAACTGGCGTGAAGCCTTGTGGAGGCTGTTGTGTAAGAGTATTGAGGAGGTAAGTGTGCCACTTTTGCAAGGCGTCGAAGGTGGCGACGCCGGCGATTTCAGCCGCTGCTGCACGTCTGGACATGGCTTGCTGGACTCGCAGGCCATCCGAAACGTTGGCATGGCGCGAGGCCTGACCCTCCTTCAAGGAAAGCTTGCCATCCTGGCTTTGCATGACTTGGAGCTCCTTATTGTACGAGCGAGCCGACAGCTCTTGCTCGCGGCTGGTGCACCTGTGAAACGGCACCCAACGCACGGAGCGGGCCTCCAACATGGCGCTGAAAGCGTCCACTAACTCGTAAGACGGTTCTTGATGGCGTGTAAGGTCAATGCCAGGAAGCTTCTCTCGAAGCTTGGTGAGGCGTGCCTCCCGTTCCACTGGCGGGAGCTTCCTCACCACATCGGCCGCTGAGCTTGCGCGGGCCACTTCCTCTTTGAGGGAGGCAATGATCAAGGTATGTGCAGTGAAAAGCAAGCGCCGAAGCGCGATTTCCTGGCCGAGTGGTACCGAGAGACTGCCAAGCGTCTCGCTGGCCCAAGCTCGCAGCGAGGTCTCATCTGTGGTGCCTGGGGTACCCGCCGCAAAGCCCAGCTGGGCCAAGGAGGCGATGCCCTTGTCGCTAAGGGCCTGCACCACTTCTTCTACGAGACCCACCTGTTGGGCGCGGCTGTCAAACTCGGACTGGCTATCAAGCAAGCTCATGGCAACTATGAAATGATAATCTGAAACTCGAGCCGACAGCTGGAGAAGTGGGGTATGCACATGACATGCACAAACTGAACATAGGAAAGCTGCGCTAAGGTCGGAGCGTTTGGCATGTGCCTATGCGGGCGCACATGCGTGAGTGCACAGGCCGTCTCTTTTCACGGCACTATGCAAGACAGGCTGGAGCTTGATGGGTGAGCAAAGCACCTATCCTTTTTCCTTCAGCATTCGTCGTGTCTGCCAGAGGCATGAAAGCACTGCTTGCACTTAGGAAAGGGTTGGTGAACCACGTGGCCCACACTCAAGAAACGGTCAGTATTGGTCCTTCCACAAAGAAGGCGCTCTTCAGAGTCGCCTTCGGCGATATGGATTGTTCGCAACTTCTGGTGCTGAACCAACAAAAATGGAGGGTGAACGGAAAAGAACGGCTGCTTGAAAGCGGCAAGAGCCGCAGCTGGGCTCTCATCGGGGTCACCGAGGTCCTCTTCGGTGCTCTCAGGCACAACCTCGTCTAAAGAGGACGAGTCGGAGTCGCTGGCGCGCGGCGACTGGGGGCTTGTCGGCCCCAGCGCTGACTCTGCTGTCACTGCGGTAGTGTCCGCAGACACACTTGCAGAGGGTGGCTGAGGCAAAACTGCAGGAGCGGCGTCATTGCCGTCGTGCGTGCCGGGATCATTGAATGCAAAGTACCCGGAGCGTGTGGTGTCAGGGGAGAAGGCCCCCGAGGCTATCAATGACAGAACCCGGACCAAGTCCCTCAAAGGTGGTGCCAGAAGGTCGCGAGAGTAGGTGTTCACTGACAGCTCTGTTGCGTCCACATGGTAGCCCAACAGCTTGCGCAAGGGGGAGATACTCCCGCTTTGGCTACCCAGCTGAGGCAAGTGGCTTTGAGGGACCGACTGGTGGGTACGGGTTCGCCTGGTTTGGCAATCTTAGCGAGGATGGAATTCACCTCTGAAGTATTGAAAGGCCGTGGTGTGTCTCCGGAGAACAAAGCAAAACTCTTTGTTCTTCAGCACTCGTCGTGTTTGCCAGAGGCATGGAAGCATTGCTTGCACCTAGGAAAGGGTTGGTGAACCAACTGGCCAACGCTCAAAAATCGGTCAGTATTAGCCCTTCCGCAGAGAAGGCGCTCTTCAGAGTCGCCGCCGGCTATGTGTATGGTTCGCAACTTCTGGTGCTGAACCAACAGAAATGGAGGTTCAACGGAAAAGAACGGCTGCTTGAAGGCGGCCAGAGCCGCAGCCGGGCTTTCATCGGGGTCACCGAGGTCCTCCTCTAATGCCTTCGGGCAAAACGTCGTCTGAAGACGACGAGTCGGAAGCGCTGGTCTGAGGTGACTGAGAGCTAGGTCGAGGCAGAACTGCGGAAGCAGCGCCATCGCCTTCCTGAGCGCCGGGCTGATTGAATGCAAAGTACCCGGAGCGTGTGGTGTCTGGCGAGAAAGCCCCTGAAGCTATCAAAGAAAGGACCCGGGCCAGTTCCTTAAAGGCGGCGCCAGAAGGTCGCGAGAATAGGTGTTGACTGACAACTCCGTTGCGTCCACATGGTAGCCCAACAGCTTGCGCAGTGGGGGAGAGACTCCCGCCTTGGCTACCCAACTGAGGCAGGTGGCTTTGAGGGACCGACTGGTGGGTACTGGTTCTCCCGGCTTGGCAACTGGACGAATCAGTGGCGGGGTGAGAGCTCCTTGGACTGGAAGGCTAAGGCGTTCACTAGCTGATACCCAGTTCTGGAACCAATGGCATCCGCTCAAGGAGAAAATAGGCAAGGTGAGCGGTAGGACAAGGCGGCTCTTGCCTCCGCTCTTGGAGGTCTTATACTCACTTGTGTTGAGCTGGTAAAAGGTGTTCCCGACGTAAGTGACCCCTTCCGGGGCATCGAGCTCGAGGCTGGAAGCCCGCTGCAAATCCATCCAGCGAGATCTGGAGTAGAGGGCAACGAGAATGCCCCCAACAATGTTCACCAAGGCTGCGTCGTCAGAGTCCGTGAGCCACTCTAACCGCTTGACCTGGCAAACTAAAATGGCCGGCTTCTGCCGAAGCGGCGGGGCGGCCTGCAGGGAGTGTGTTGCTGAACCTTTCAAAAGGGGGCTGGAGAAGAAGTCGGCATCAGCAGCGCACTGAAACGTGTGAGCAAACCACGTCAAGGACTGATATCCTGAAGTGGGGGCCGAGGGTGAGGCATCCTTGAGTGCCTGCATCCACTTCCATGTGGCAGACACTGTCAGAGGAACCCAAGGCAAATTGCGGTCACTGCACCAAGCAAAGTAGCGCTCGAGGTAGCCGAGGCGCGCCTTCAAAGTGGACTCACTGCGGCCGGAAACAACATCTGAAACAAGCTGCCACCCCATCCATGGGTCCTCATCGGCTAGTGCCTGGGACAGGAGTCGCCTGCAGCCTTCAAAAGAATGAGGAGCCGGCTCACCAGTGCGTGCCGCAGGGTGCTTTGACGCAAGGAGGCAACGGCAGGCTTGCGAATGAGTTGGAACGAAGGGAGGCCCTCCAGAAGGTCAAGCTTGCGCTTAACTGTTGTGCGCGGGAATGCCTCATCCAGTAGCTCGGCGGCACTGGGCCCCAAGGTGTCAGCGCGAGAGGGCGGCTGGAGTGACTGAATCGATGGCACTGCTTGCAGCTCGATGGCACGTTGAGCAAAAATTGGAGCAAAGGCCGGAGCCTCCCAAGGAAAGGTGAGGTCCATGTGGCTGAGTGCAGGGACTAAACACTGAGACTGAGCCAAAGGCAAAAAGAGGTTGTCTGGAACGCTTCTGCAGGAGCGTTTGCTGAAACTGAGACTGGGGCGGAATTGGAATGGAGAGAGGCCTCGGCACGAAGGGCGCAAAAGAAGGCAAATGGATAATGCAAATGGCCGCACTGAGAGGGACCAACGCGATTTTGAAGGGAAGGGCAAGGAAACCGAAGCCCACAAAAATAAAACACAGGGAAGTCGAGGGGGACCAGGATGTGCAGAGCGCAGCACTGGAATGCCAGAGCTGCAGGATCAAAAGTGCACTTCTGAAGCGGCATCCATTTGGGTCGGAAAAACTGGCTCGCGCGCACTGGGATACATGACTGGGGGCACGAAGGAGACTGCGATGAGGATGGAGGGGGAGCATGCAGAGAGTGCGCCTGGCAGTAGGCCGAGGTATGTGAGGTAAATAAGCTGCTGACAGGAGGGCTGAGTGGAGGCTGGGAGGCTTGTACATGGAGGGGAAAAACGAGGGCTGCAGTGAGAGATGGGTGGCCCCGACCATGTCGAAAGGGACCACAGCATCGATAAGGGGGGCTAAGCGTCTGCAGTGTGGATAGTCCTGGCGCGAAAGGAGTGCAGGACAAGGCGGTAGGTTTGTCCTCGCTCGTCCTTCACGGCTTGCCCAACTTGAGACCAGGAGGGGAAACCGTTCGATTCTGCTGAGAGTGTGGCTCTGGAATGTCAGAGCCACAGGATCAAAGGTGCACCGCTGAAGCGGCATCCACTTGGGCCGGAAAAATGGTTCGCAAGGCCTGAGGCTGGCACAAACGGAGGCCTGAGCGTGCAGTAGCGCGGCACTGGGATGCCAGAGCTACAGGGGCAAAAGGCGCCCTTCTGAAGCGGCATCCATTTGAGCAAGAAAAAAAATTGGCTCACCCGGACTGAGGCTGGCTCAAATGGAGACCTGAGCGACCTGAGCGTGTGAGAGCGCTGCACTGGAAGGCCAAACTACAGGATAAAAGGTGCACGTCTGAAGCGACATCCATTTGGGTCGGACAAATTGGCTCGCACGAACTAAGGCAGGCACACATGGAGACCTGAGCGGAACCATGCACGCAACTGATGCACACAAGTGGAGCTGCTAAAGTGGCTATCAGTTTCGAAGGGGGGGGCATGGAGGCCTAGTCGTGCAAAAGGACCGCACTAGCATGCCACAGCGGGAGGGACATAAGTGCACTGCTGAAACGGCATCCGTTGGAAGTGCAAATCCGTTACAAACGACTGAGGCGGGCACGCTGGCGATCAAGGAGGCCTTGGTACGAAGGCGTGGTGGAACGCAGACCGAACCCTGCACGCAACTGATGCACGCAATTGGAACTGTTAAAGTGGCAATCAGTCTCCAAGGGAAGGGCAAAGAAACAAGCTGCAGGAACAAAAGTGCACTGCCGGAGCGGCATCAGTTGGAAGTGCCAATCCGTCGCAAACGACTGAGGCGGGTACAACGGCGATCTCCTGCACCTGAGCGGGCACACAAGGGTGCGACTGGCAAAAGGACAGGAAAAATTATGCAGGCTGCGGGCAAATTCAACATGGAAGGCGACAGAAACGGGCTTGAAAAGAAAATTGCGGGGGCGACACACTTTGAATCCTGCGGCGTGAGCACAAGGCGCAATCAACGCCTATGAGGGGCGCGTGTGCGCCGTGAGGAGCCCTGCTTTGGGGCGGACTTGGCAGCTCGGGAGGCACCTGAAACATGGCCGCCTGACAGGGCACGAGCGAGGCGCAAGGAAGACGAAGGGGGAAAGGCAACTGGAACTTTCAAGAAAGTGAACTGTGCACCCTTCTCCAAGGCCCGGGCTGTGACGAACTGGAGGGAGTCCTGACACAAGGCGAAACGGCCACCCCCAAAAGGACCCGAAAAGGGGGGAAAGGGGCCCGAAAAGAAAAAGGGGGCAAACGGCAGAGCATCGAGGTCCGAACGGACATGCACCTGAGCACGGACGCGTGTCGGGAAGGAACTGCTGCGGAAAAACAACTCACAAAACACGCAAGATCCATGCAAAACCATGCAGTGCAAAAGCGGGAAAAAAATCTAAGGCCCTGAAATTGGAAGGAAAGGAAAGGTTTGAGCCTCAAGCTGCAACTCAACAGTTAAGGGCACCCGTATAACGCCGCGAGTGCAAGCACTAGCAATCCATAGGCTTGCTGCACAAACACTGCCTGGAATCGGATGTGCGGAAAAGGGTCACGCACACCCCCCCGGCTGTTGAGAGCCTAGGGGTGGACCACCCTAAGCTCTCAACAGCCGGGAGCGCTCCCAGCTGTTGAGAGCTTAGGGTGGTCCACCCCTAGGCTCTCAACAGCCCCCTTGTTTTTGAGTACCACACTTTCGGGAATACGCCGGGAATATAAAAAAGCACACGATTTCAGCCAAAACTTTTGAAAACCTGGCCTTGTGGCCAGCCGAGTGGGATGCCGCGTTCTGATTGATGCCGATGGGCTCCTCATGCATGATGTTGCTGAAGAGCGGGCGCTCCATGATGCGCTGCAAAGCAATTTCCAGCTGCGCATAGTGCGCCCGATTCACATCAGCCACCTCGCCAGGACCAGGATCCGCGGCGGCTGGCGCATCGTCGGCAGCGGGCACCGCGGCTGCCGCTGCTGCCTTCGCCTTGTTCTTCGGCTGCTTCTTCGGCGACATGGCTGCCAAGAAGCGTGGTGCGGGGCCCGCTCGCTTAGAGCAATCTCAGCATCAGCGAGAATCACATTGATTTGCCACTGTTCAGTGGTTGAAGTTGCTGGCCAGCAATCACAGTCAGCTCAAGCTGCTGCTCAGCAGCATCATTTTCACGCAAACATTGTTGCTGCTCAGCAACAGTCTGAACAAGCACTACGCAGCCAACATCATGTTCATGCCAACTTCATTCAGTTGCTGTTCAGCAACTACAAGTTCAAACAGTCGCATGAACCCGTCAGTCGTTTCAAGAGCTTGTTACTACTGCTGTGTCCGCCTCACTGCATCGCATCGAAGAGGCTTTATGCCTATAAACTTGAACTTGTGTCCCGAAAAGTGGTTTGTGACATTGTGTGCCAACACTTGTTTTCGTGACACATTTACACTGATTATTATTATCCACCGGGTTCTGCAGGATGTTTGTTGTAAGCTACGTGCCAAACAAACAGGTTGATTGACAAAGTTGAACCTTTGGCGTACTTGTGACATTGGCTATGTTGCATATCTCCAATTTATTAAAATGGCAGGCTGTTGCATCTTGTTGGAGCTCTTGTTTGGCTTGTGTTGCTTTTCAGGTCAACTAAGCAAAAGGATATCCTTGGTTGCTCAGTGTTGCTCACTGATCAGTGGCTAATTGAAGATTTCAAAGCCACTTCATCCCCTGCAAACGCGTCTTGTTTTCGCCACTCCCCTGAGTAAGTACAAGCAATGCTTGCGACAAGCAAGGCCACATCCGCAGTCCTCAGAACAACTAAAAACCAACATGGGTGACAGTATGAATTGTAGCACCAGCTGGTTCAATGCCACTGACTGAGGCCGCGTGGCAAGCTCAAGGCGGAGGTTGGGCGTCAGGACCCCGTGCACCGCCGATGAGTTGGAAGGGGTTCACAAGCCACACATCCCCCTTTTGGCGATGCACATTTTGCAAACGAATTTGAGAAACCCATTCTTTTCAAATATGATGGCTTCATTTGCCCGTGCAGCTTCTGCGTCAGAAGCAATTGCGACGACTGTGAAACGCCGAGCTGCAGGAGTCGCAACGCGCAAGTCCGCAAACTGTTCCCAGCTTTCAATCGCCTTCCACTTGCACCCAGCATGTTGCATTGCGTTCTTGAAAACTCTAGCAATGGCAGGCTTCTCACGCTCAAACGCCGGGCTGACAAACACCTTGCGCAAAACGTGGATGGCAGGCGCAAAGTGCAGCGCGATGCCCTTTTCCCCCTTGCTGTCAGAGTACTGCTTGTTGGCCAGCATGCCACCCAAAAGAGTTGCAGCAACGAACACCTCCTCCTGCGGGTTCGCTGGGTCCTCCACCACGAAGCCTTCCGCATCCCACACAAAGCGTCGCGCTCTGTCACGCGCAGCCCCATGCACGTCTTGAAGCCGTCAACATTCTTGGGCAGCAGCAAGTTGGCACTCCGAGCTTCCTTCCTTGGCAGTGTCTTGATGATTTCGTCGAAGCAGCATGGACAAACAACGCGATTTCAAGTGAATCTCCAGCTGCAAAATAAAATAACACAACTCTGCTTTAACGAGCGCTTAGTGACCGTGTTCGCTGCTCATCGGTTTTCGCTACGTGTTGCCGAACGGCCAGTGCCACATCAACGAGGTCCGGCTCAACCTCGTCCTCTAACAGCGCGTTCTCAAGGTAGCTCTGCACGCGGCTTTCATATTGTTTTGTTTTCTGAAAGGTCAGCTCGTTCGCCATCGACTCTGACCAGATTCCTGACGATCCCCTGGCAGCAGTTGACTCAACCGTCGCAATGTCCACTGGTGCTGCCGCCTTGCTGTCAATCCTGCGGCCCTTTCGAACATCGTTGACCGTCAAAGTGCAGCCTGTCTGCTTGCGCTTTATGCCTTTGTCAAGCCTTGTCATGCAGCTTGCTCGGGGCTTACCAAAGTACGCTTGCCAGACCTTTGGCCGCTCTTGCGCAAAGCTGGTCATGGGGCGTGTCGGTCTTGGACAGCAGCAGCAGCTGCTGCTCGTCGCTTTGTGTAGCCTCACTCCTCAGCACTGCCAAGTCAATGGCAGCGCAAAGCTGTTTAGCGTTCAAATCAGCTGCCAGGCAAACAATTGAGAAGAGTTACATCCAAGGTTGAGAAGAGGCACATGTGCTTGCTGATGCCCTCCTGCAGAATGCTGAATGATTGCTCGACGCCCGAGGTGCTCAATCCGTTCCATGCTCCGTAAAAAGACACTACCTTGAACAAGGCTTGGAGGTGGTCTTTTTGACGTCGACCAGCAGTCCGCGCACGTATTCTCTGCAGCGCAGTTTGCCAAGCTGTAAAGCTGCATGTGCGGCAAGTGGTTGCCTCATACATCGCGATGGGCTCGACCTCGTCAAACTGCGACCGGAGTGCAACTGCGTCCACTTGGAATACCTGAGCCATCCGCTGCAAAGACCGATCCTTGAAGGCAATGTGGCGCGCTTCGTCTCGTTCCACACCACGCTTCTTGACAACATCAAAAACCCGGAACGATGTCAGAATATCATGCTCTGGGAACTCAGCTTTCAGCGTGTTGGTGGCGAGAACGAGAAATGCTTGGCACTGTTCAGTGCAGGCCAGCAAAAGCTCCGGACTGACCCGGCCACGACCCCCGATCGTCTTAGCCTGCTGACGTACCTGAACACCACGCGCAAGAACATGTTTCTAAACTTCAAAGCGCACGCTAGGCTAACAGATGCTGAACCATCCTTCATGACGTGTTCGCAGCAAACGTAGAAACCATTTACTCGATGCAGCTTCAAGCGCCATAAAACCCCTTGGTTCCTCAAGCAGCTCCAGCATGTAAGCCGTGAACCCTTGAGTGAAAATTGCGCCCTGGTTGATCAAGCGGTGCAGGCGTGCCAGCAAGGATTCCACCTCGATGGGGAACTGACAGGTCATAGCTCTCAGTGTCCACTAGCCTGAGCAAGCCGCTGCATTCGTCGCTAATGTCAGCGAGCATGCTGATCAGGATGAGGTGCCGCTCGCTCATGGCGTCCAGGTACTCAAACGCAGCTTTGGCATCGTCGCCGTCGCGCTGGGTCGCAACCCAGACCAGAGTCGAGATCAGAGCATCGATGTAGATCACTGTTCTTTGTAATGGCAGCGAGCATGATGCAAACCGGTGCTTTGCAGCTTGGAGATGCTTAATACGCCTGCCATTGCCGCCGTTCTTTTCGCATGCCACAGCAAACCGGCTGAATACGCCCTGCAGCGTCTGCGAGAAGTGGATCTTCTGGCAGATTGAGTTCGAACCCATGATGTACCTGTTCATGGTGTCTTTGATTTCGGCCACGGCGTCCCATGGCCTTTTCAGCACCCTGGTACCTTAGTAGTCAAGATTACACGCAAGGTTGCACGCAGAGCTAGATTCCCGGCTGTTGCTCAGCGCTTCCCTCGGCGCCTTCCCGGCCTTTTGTCGCAGCCTTCTCGAATCCCGCCCTCTTTGCTAGGGTTTTGTTTTTTTCGGTTTTTCGGTAGGGAGGACTTCTCTAGAACACAAGCTTGCGATCGGAAAAAGATTGAGACGTCAGTTTGACAGATCCATAGAAGAAGCCAAGGCACAAGCGTGAGCCCTGTCTCTTTGAATCGAAACCAGGTTTGGGAAGAAACTCTTGCTCACTCGCCCTGCGCCCTGCTCATTGCTGGCAGCATCCGCCACAAAGATCGTCACCGAGTTCCGGAGGTGTTCGCGCAGGGAAGAGTCCATCTCTTGAGCGCATGGGCCGCCCCATCCGGGCGTGGCAAAGCGTTCAATGACACGTTCCATTGCCACAACCACGTTGGAGATGGTCTCGCCGATAACTTCTTGGGCGCCCAGGATGCCCTTCTTGATCTCCAGGTTTGGGGCGCAGGCGGAGAAACGCATCAGCAACCGGTTCTGGCGACCATCCTGCGCTATTGCTATGGCGGAGGCACGCCGGATGAAGTCGCGGGAAATCTCCCGGTCGGACTCAGCCAAGCACCACTGCAAGCGAGACAACTTCTCTCGTCCACAGGGGTTCTCGCCGCCAATCCCTTGCCTCAGCGAGCATTTGTTCAGCCTGTGGTCCAGCGCCTGTTTGAACACATCCAGCCCAGGGCAATCCTTGTCTGCCTGCTGAGAGTTGGTGAAGCCAATGACCTTCAAAGCGCGCTGATGCTGCAAAGACGCGTGGTGCCTTTTGATGTTGCTCAGGAAAGGCGTTGCAACCGTGCCCCGTGCAAAAGCATTGTCCATGGCCGCCTTGTTGCACACGACGCACCCAAGCCCTGCATCAGCGGCATCGCCAGCGAGCACCAGCCAGGTGCCGATCGTTATGCCATCTGCTTGGATCGGAGAAGAAGCCTCCCACTCCTCTTGATTCCGAAGGAACAAGCAGCGCCAACAAGATGCTGGATCTGGGCAGCTCTTCGCATGACAGAAATTGGCCTCACGGGTCACAGGAGTCAGCCGCTGAGCTGCTTTGCCAGGCTGTGGCGCAGCCGCCCATCTTGAACGAGAGCCCGCCGACTGCTCCGCATCACCCAGCGACCGCCGCTGCGGGGTTGCGACATGGCCAAACCCAGGAATCATTTTGGTACCACAACGCTTGCTGCTTCTCTCTCTTGATCAGTGCTTTTTCAAAAATCTTCATTTTTTGTGGGACAAACAACTTTTTTGCGCTTAAAACAGACCATTGTCATGTTGGTTGCCACCCTTTCAACTTCGCTCAGCAATGAACATGATTTAACTGCATTGAACTGCATTGAACTGCATTGAACTGCATTGAACTGCATTGAACTGCATTGAGTTGAACTGCATTGAGTTGGTTGAACTGCATTGGTTGGTCATGTTGCTTGAGCAAAATGCCGACACAGCAATGCCCATGATGAACCCAATTTTGGGGTCGAGCAAGCGTTGCAGGCGTTGCGCTGGTTACTTTAGACGCAATGGCAGATGATGGAAAGCTTCGGCCTCGTAAAAACCGGCCGTCGCCATACGCCATCATGAACATACGCCGTCGCCATACGCCATACGCCATACGCCATACGCCATACGCCATACGCCATACGCCATACGCCATACGCCGTCGCCATACGCCATACGCCATACGCCATACGCCTCCGGAACTCCTTCCTCTGCTGAGAGGATGGCGAGGCCGAAGTGGAAGAAGCCCCAAATGCAGAAGCAACGCGCTTGTAATTGAGGAGTAGAAGTCGCCTAATTAATCCAGGCTGGTGTGTTTTGACACAAGCCTCCTTTTAGCCAAAGGCTGGCGCTAAGCTACCAGGTCACACTAACGGGGCGGGTGTGAGGAATTAAAACGAGTGGCATGATGAGACTCATTTTGCGCTGCGACAGGTGCTACCGCTGTGAGCAATAACTCAATCACCACCAACTGTCTCGAAAACAAGGCGCCCTGTCTCAGAAACTTAAGATTGCAAGCCACTGATCAGCAGCGAAACCATCGCATGACAATCAACAAACCAAAGCCGCAAAATCGGAGCTGCTGGTCAGCAGCAATAAGTAACTATGACGAAAGTAATACGAAGCGAAGAGAAGTGCCCTTGTTTTCAAGAAACGTGTTGGCTGGCAAACCACACCCAGCAGAGACCCAGAAGTAGGCAATATGATTTGCAGACTGCTGAACAGCAGCCCCACCGTGGCACAATCAGGCGCGGCGGGCCTGCCGCGCCACTGCTGCGCGCTGCCGCCGGCGCTGCTCCGGGTGCACCTTGGCTTCTTTGTTGGGTTTTGGCTTCTTAGTTGGGTCGGACCAGCTGCTGCTCAGCAGCTTCATCAGACAATGCCTGCTGAACAGCAGGCGCAACTGATCACCTAAGTTGAAGACCAACTGCAGTTTGGTCAGACCTGCTGCGCTGGACCTGCTGACTGCTGTTCAGCAGTTCATGGACCAGCTGCTGCTCAGCAGCTTCATCAGACAATGCAAACGACCGCTGAACAGCAAGCCCAACTGCTGCTCAGCAGTTTCGTCTGCTGCTCAGCAGTTCATTGGGTTGGACCAGCTGCTGCTCAGCAGCTTCATCAGACCATGCAGAGGACCTGCACAGCAGGCCCAACAGTTTGGACCTGCTGACTGCTGCTCAGCAGTTCATTGGGTTGAACCAGCTGCTGCTCAGCAGGTTCATCAGACACTTCCTGCTGAACGCAGCATTGCTGCCAGACCTGCTTCGCAGCAGGCCCAAACTGCCGCGAAGCTGCTCGGCAAATTGGGTTGGACCAGCTACTGCCCAGCAGCTTCATCAGTCAATTCAAAAAACCTGCTGGACAGCAGGACCAACAGCTGCTCAGCATGTTTCCACTTATTTGTTCCACCGGCAGCAAGGCTCAAAGTTGGAGAGATACGGTTTCGCACGAACAGCTCTCAACAGCAACAGTAGCATGACCCGTGTCACATTGTGGACATTGATAGCACAACAACGCCGCATTTCAGGAGAAGACTTGCATTACACACTTTGCATTACATTAAACGCATGGCATTCACATTTCAGCTGCGCGTTACATTGAGATACGCAAAAACACAACATTACATTGCTCTGAGTTACATCACATCGCATTACATCGCATCACGTCACATACGAAACACCCGTCATTCATTCCTTCCTTCCTTCCTTCATTCATTCATTCATTCATTCAGTCATACACTCATTCATCCGTTCATTCATGTATCTGATTTTATGTTCCCTCATTGTATTTCATTTCATTCCATTTCATTTCATTTCATTTCAATCATTTCATTCATTCATTCATTCATTCATTCATTCATTCATTCATTCATTCATTCATTCATTCATTCATTCATGCAGTGTTCTTTCAGTCATTCACTCAATTCTGCGTTCACAGTCGTTCATGCATTCATTCAGTCATTCGATCCATTGACTCACTCACTCACTAATTCATTCGTCCATTCATTCATTCATTCATTCCTTCATTCATTCCTTCATTCATTCATTCATTCATTCATTCATTCATTCATTCGTTTCATTTCATTTAATCTCACTCCATTCATACATTCATTCATTCACGCATTCAGTCATGTCATTCAATCATTTGATTCATTAATTCATTCATGCATCAATTCAATTCAATTCAAGTCCTTCATTGGTTCATTCACTCATTCATGCATTCATCCATCAATTCAGACGCTCATGCGTTCCTTAATTCTTTCGTTCGTTCATGAACTCATTCATTCATTAATTCATTCATTCATTCACTCATAAATTCATCATTCATTTGTTCATTCATTCAGTCATTCATTCATTCACACATTCATTCATTCATTCATTCATCCATCCATCCATCCATCCATTCATTTCATTCATTTCATTCTTTCATTCAGTTCCATCACTCGTTCATTCATTCGTTCATTGAGTTCCACCAGTTGTTCATTCATTCATTCATCCATCCAGCCATCATTTCATTCATTCATTCATTCATTCATTCATTCACTTCACTCACTCATTCACTCACTCATTCATTCATTCATTCATTCATTCATTCATTCATTCATTCATTCATTCATTTCATTCATTCATTCATTCATTCATTCTCTCATTTCATGTCATGTCATTTCATTTCATTTCATTTCATTTCATTTCATTCATTTCATTACATTTCATTTCATTTCATTCATTGCATTCATTTCATTCACTCATTCATTCATTTCATTCACTCATTCATTCATTCATTCATTCATTCATTCATTCATTCATTCATTCATTCATTCATTCATGAATTCACTCATTCATGCATACACTTCATTTCATGTTGCGTCGTTTCATTTCATTTCATTCAATCACTCACTCATTATTTCATTCATGCATTGAGTCATTCAGTCATTCATTCATTCATTCATTCATGCATTCATTCATTCATTCATTCAGTCACAGTCAGTCAGTCAGTCGGTCATTCAGTCGTTATGTCATGTCATTTCCTTTCATGTCATGTCATGCAATTTCTGTCATTCGCTTGCTTCATCGGTTTTTTAATAGAAAATATTTTTTTAAAAGACCTTCGGGGAATTAGACGTGATCCAAAAACAGCACGAAGGACAAGGACGAGCCCCGCAGTCGGACGACTTGGCCTTCCAGGTCTGTCAGCCGGAAGCGCAGGTGTCTCAGGGTGATGGGGCCCCGAACGGCCATGAAGTGAGCCGGTCTCCACGATGGTGCCCACGCCGCTCTGGACAGGATGTCGTCCCCCAGATTGTCCAGCACGCGGCTGGCGTTGGCCAGCTGGGGGCAGCGGAGGTAGACCTCGCTGTATGCCATCATGCGGACGAACTCAAAGACCTGCTGCCCGCCAGAGACGAAGCTGGGGCCAAGCATGTGGTCGATGCTGAAGGGCTTGGTCGGCGATGCGGCCGGCGAGGTGGGGTAGTCCACAGCGTCTGGGAACTGCTGCTGCAGCTCCAGATCGTTCAGAATGAGGCGGTTGCCGTCGTAGGCTACGCTGTGGTCTCGCTATAGGTAGCAGTAGCGAAGTTGGAGCTGATCCAGTCGGGAGCCCGTGTAGGCGCCTTCCGGAAGGAGCGCCCAATTCAGCGTGCCGAGCGCGGCGTCTACCCAGTACAAGTAGCGGCCCCGGTCTGTCAAGAGGAAGCTATCGGCGATTCTGATCTTATAGACGGCCAGCCTGGCATCGCTCTGCAGGCGCAGAGACTCTCCCAGGTCTACCTCGAAGTCGCTGTCCGAGCCGGCTACCCTCTTGCGGCTGTCCACGTAGATCGTCGTCATTCTTTTCTTTAGGAAGCCACCTGTTCGGCGAACGATGGGTGGCTGGACTGCTGCGACGGAGGTGCAGCAGGAGATGTTCTCACACCTCGCGTTGATCAGCGTGGAGCTTGCGAACAGCTTCTGGCCCAGGAAGCTGAGCGCCGCTCCCATCGGCTTCTCTTTCCAGTGCAAAACGCTCTTCGAAGCGCATGTGGAACATTTGATTCTTTGGCTTGAGGTAGTAGACGAAGAGGAAGCTTGTAGGGCTCTCGAGTCGCCTGCTCGTAGATCCTGTGCAGCTTGTCCTTCGGCAACAGGGCGCTCAGCTCTTCGATGACGGCGTCCAGCTCGTGCTGGTTGCGCAGCCTCCAGCAGCAGAGAAATTGCATGTTCACCCGCACGGCTGCGCTGATGAGCCTCAGCTTCTGGGAGCTCACCCAGGTGCTGATTTGCAGGCGCCGACCCCTGATGAAGAGCGTATCCAGGGCGCCGTGAGGTTTGTGGAGCTGTGGGCTCGTCGCA